ATAGACTTTAAGAAAGCCTATGATTCAGTTAGGAGGGAAGTATTGTACAATATTCTAATAGAGTTTGGGATACCCATGAAACTAGTTAGGTTGATTAAAATGTGTTTAAACGAAACGTATAGAAAAGTCCATGTAGGTAAACATTTGTCTGATATCTGATGTCTGATTATCTGATATTTCCTATCCAGAATGGTCTAAAACAAGGAGATGCTTTATCGCCACTCCTTTTCAGCTTCGCCTTAGAATATGCAATTAGGGAGTGGACTGAAATTAAATGGGACACATCAGCTGTTGGTCTATGTCGATGATGTGAATCTACTGGGTGATAATGTAGATACCATAAAGAAAAACACGCAAACTTTAATTGACGCAAGTAAAGAGGTTGGTCTAGAAGTAAACACAGAGAAAACTAAGTATATGTTACTGTCTCGTCACCAAAATGCAGGGCAAAATCATGACATAAAGATAGGAAACAGATGTTTTGAAAATGTGGCACAGTTCAGATATTTGGGAACAACAATAACAGATCAAAACCTGATTCAGGAGGAAATAAAGAGGCGATTGAACTCGGGTAATGCTTGCTATCATTCAGTCCAGAACCTTTTGTCTTCTCATCTGTTGTCCAAGAACATAAAAATTAGAATATACAAAACTATAATTTTGCCTGTGGTTCTGTATGGGTGTGAAACTTGGTCTCTGTCATTAAGGGACGAACATAGACTGAGGGTGTTTGAGAACAGGGTGTTGAGGAGAATATTTGGACCAAAGAGAGATGAAGTGACAGGAGGTTGGAGAAAACTGCATAATGAGGAGCTTCATAACTTGTACTCTTCTCCAAGTATAATTAGAATGATCAAGTCCAGGAGGATGAGGTGGGCAGGTCATGTAGCACGAATGGGGGGAGAGGAGGAATGCATATAGGATATTGGAAGGAAAGAGACCACAGGGAAGACCAAGACGTAGGTGGGTGGACAATATTAAAGTGGATATATTATATTTAAGCTTCCTGTTGCACTATACACTTCTATATGTAATAATACAAATGCCGTCGTGAATGCAGCAATTTATTTGGTTTTAGATCTTTGTCTTTTCTTCCTCTACACTACATGTTTCGGCCGTAATTGGCTGTCATTAGGTATATGTTTCACTGTGTAGCTGTCACACTGCACACAGTCCAAAATCTAAAACATCAGCCTGTCAGTTTTGTTTTAAAACCTCACCAACACATGCCCGTCAATTTGATTTTTAGAATTCCAGTTTAAAATTTAAAATTTCTAAAATGTAAAGTTTTAAATACCAGGGACACCTGCTCTTGTTTACATGTGCTGCAGCGGCTATTTCTTGTTTTCAGCACCGTTCATGTATTATTCTGTGCAGGCTCCCTGTGTGTGTGTTCACACACAGGGCCCAACCGTGCTGTCAATGGAAAGGTTCTACCCTAGCCTAATCACGGCTGGGTCAGTGAAAAGTTATGCCTCGTGACCGTTGACACTGGGGCATACTTGACTGTCGCCGCCAGATAGCCCAAAAAAGAGCTGAACCAACGTTACACACTGCAGACGATATCTGGGGAACCGATCCACATCTTTAATGAAATTTTCCTGACACTGACCCTTACGCGTCTCCCACTGAAAATTTGGGTATTTGTGCACAATAGCACAAGCGAGTTCATCTTGGGGATGGATACCTTGAGCCCATATGGTGGATCTGCATCTTGCAACAGGTATGTCACTATGGAGCCCTGGGCCAGGTTCCAGACTTTACAGCCAGGTAGTGGTCAATGAGCAGGTGATACCTGCACAATGGGAGGGAGTGGTGATATCTAGAATGAAGAGCTTCCTTAGAGTTTAAAATGGCCTGGTAGAACTGAATTCGGAAGT